TCATGGCGCGCCCACACGACCCTGGGCCGCCTTACGTTCAATGCCCAAGCCTTATCACTGCCGGACACCTCATGCGAAGCACCGAACAGCTATTGCGAAGAGCGCAGTTCGAACCAGCTCCGATACCAAATTGCAAGGAAAATGAGCAATAGCGAGATGACAATATTCAGATTGCGCAATCACATTGAAAGCCAGATCGTATCACAGTGTTCAGAAAGCAGCATTGCACCAATATGACACCAATGGATAATCGTGTCACTGAAAACCAATGTTAATGAGAGCTCGCTCTCGCCACAACCAACATATGTATCCAATCCCTATCTCCCTACTTGGCGCTCGGCGCCCAGCCTACTCCCTACACAGCTACTACTAGCCTACTAATTGACAATGCAGCTGTTGACGTCAGCAGCCTCCGAAGTACTTGAAGATGTCGCCCATGCAGACCATCGCCAATACCAGGTATGTGCCCTCACATCATCATCATCATCCTTCTCTCTCTCTCTCTCTCCCTCGTCTTACTCGCACGTCTTCCTTCTTGAAACCCGAAGACCACCCCTGCGCCTCACTATACATCCAAGCCCGCCAGCTATGGAGGTTGGGCTATGGCGCTGCCCTCAGCAGCGACCTCCTCCTTGCACGACCGCACGTGCTTGCACTTCACCTCTCAGCGCTAGCAGCAGCCCACGAGCTTCAGCTCCAGCAGCGCTGCCGCCAGCATGCGAGTGCCCCCAATTCCTGGTCATGCAGCGAGCTCTTTCCTATATGGAAAGAGCTTGCCTCATTCGGCAGCCTGGCTGGACTGGCCTGGGCCCAGAAGCTTCCGGTAGGCCCCAGTATGCTGCGCCTCTTTGCAGCTACTGGCCTCATTTGGTTGGGCCTCCCAACTGTCTGTGTATGAGGCTGCGATTCTCGTCCAGGGCCTGCACCATTTTGGAAAGGCCTGGAAGGCCTGGGATTTTTCCTCGCTGCTCAGTCTGTGTTTCCCTCAACCAACTGGCGCGACGAAACTGCCTGGACCCAAATACTAAATTGACAGCCGAGGCCTCTCATGATTTGTTAGGCCCGCCTTCACTTAGGGCGGGCACATTTGCAGCAGGGGCCCCTTAGGCCGGCCGAGGACCCAGATCCTCGCAGTACCGAAACACAGGAGAATAACCTATTAGATTTTGTCATTTTGTAGAATTTTTCTTTGACGTGAAATCCGTTTTGGAGTATGCTTTGGCCCTTTTGGTTTGGGTGGCAAACCATTTTCCATTGAGAAAACTACCCTACCGAGGTAGGGTACATTTCTCAACTGCAGTGCATTTCCTATTTTTCTGGTTTTTAGACATCATTGCACCCTAAAACGGAGGAACTCTGACCGCTGTGTTTGGTTCTCTGGCATAAAGCTCGTTTCCTTCTTTGGGCAATGAATGCATTTGGCCATCCACTTTACAAATGGTGACCTCCTGTCCCTCAGCACGGGGAGTATCCCTTTTTCACAGAGAGATTCACTCCGACAGTTCCAGACATGTTTCATTTCTCCGAGTTACGTTATCAAATATAAGGAGAAAAGCTGTTTCTAGCGTTTCTTTTTCAGTTTTTTAATTTGTTGTTTCGAATTTATTAATGTTGAAATGGCGTCACACCGTTGAGTTTTCTAAACTCAACAACGGTAGGTGGGACCAGACCCCTGGGAGGTATGCTCAAATTCGTAAACAAACTCGAGTTAAAAATAAAAACACAAAAAAAAAGTTCTTTTTTTTTTTCTTGGAATATGTTCGGCCGAACACGTTCCGGAGGCGTCCAGCCGAACACCCGAACATGTTCAGACGTTCGGAAAAGCTCCGAACATGTTCGGTGTGCTACACAGGTTTTGAACTACCAACTGGACTATGGTTCAGTTGGTACACCCCTTAACTCTTGAAATACAGACCTACGTTCGAACTTTACTCGAAGCAGCAGACGAGTAAAATACTGCAATTGAACACTTCTGAATTACCTTGGGCCAGTCAGTTCGATATCGATATCTAAACACCGTCGCCCCTGTTCCAAAAAAAAAAAAAAAAAAAAAAAAAAAAAGTTTGAACTTCACGATGATTACAGGAAGGATGCGCCGGAGGAATGTTCACTTCTGCAGTCACAGGAGCACTGCCGCCTAGTGCTTGACAGAAGCAAAAGTTGTCTGAAAGTTCCCACCAAGTCGGAGGAAGCCCCCCCCCCAAAAAAAAAACAACTAGTCTCCACCTGAACATAGTCAAAAAAGTTCCCACCAAGCCGGAGGAAGGCCGAAAAAAAAACAGGGATCAAGAAATTGTCTCCACCTGAACATAGTAAAAAAAAGAGCACAAGGAGTCAAGGACTGTTCCCAATTGAACCTTCGGCGCAGGCGAAATGAGAGGAGAAGTGATAGCCACTTCTAAGTGCTGTCTGAAGAGCGTGATTGGTCCATACGTGACATCAGGCAGAGGCCGGCGCCAGTCTCTGGTCCATCCACGACATCAGGCAGAGGCCAGCACCAGTCTCTGGTCCATACGCGGCATCAGGCAGAGGCCGGCGCCAGTCTCTTCATTTTGCCTACGTGACCATTGTGACCACCACCGCACCTGATAATATGTCCCCCTACGGCAAAAAGAATGCCCGTTATTCCCACTAAGCGTAAGGCCTATTACAACCCCCATCTTGGGCCCATGAAAGCACCAGCACAGGGGCACCTGGGTCGCGGGCCTGACACCTCAAATTCTGCTGGCGCAAAATGAAAACGCGACCGCCGATCAAATTTATCAACAGCGGGCCCAGCGTTTGACATTTCGGCCTCGTTGCCTTGTGGCAACAAGTTTCGGACTGCACGGCTGGAGCCGTGTGCCTGTGGTTTAAGCCAACACTATTAATGGCCACCGTGCCAAAGCCGTTCCCAGATTGATCTAAATGGAAAATGTGTCTAGTGAAGAGAAAGATCCACCGCAGTACGGAATAGACGCCTGTTAGACCGCTTTTAACCTGGCCGGTTATGGTAACGCCGTGGTTGGTGCTTTTCAGTTGGAGGGCACCCATTATCTCAGCTTGCTTTTCACCTGATGTATCACCTGATGTATTCCTCAAACGGGGGTTGGCTCTGCGGCATCTCAGTCTGAGGGTGGGGACCACACCACACCTGGCCTGCTTAGTTAACAGTCCGTATACCTGTATGCAAAGTATGTATGCTCGATTGGGATAGCTCAAGGCTGTCGCCCTTTCCGAAAAAAATTGATTTCAGTCTTTCATGGTGTCGGTGTGTTGGAGGGTGTGAGACGCGGACTGACAACAGCCTGTCATTGTGTATGTAATATGTATATACCGTTAGGTGATAGGTTCGTGCTTGAACCCTCCCCCTCCGCTGAGCTTGTCAGTTCACACATATGTTTCGTTTGTTCCTTGCTTTCGGTTTCGGCACTTTTGCATCACTGCAGTTCGGAAAGATCCCTGATGATGTCCAAGCGGCAACCAGCCGTGGGCAGGTGTGAGTTACCAAATCTAATCACCACACAGCCGGGGGCTGTGGCGAGTCCAGTTGGTTAGCGCAAACAGGTATAGCGAAGTCTCACATTTGCAAAACAAAGAAGACTGCCGCCCAACATGCCCACGCGAATGTCGCAACAGTTCGGGCAGCTGTTTGACAACCGAGTGCCTGCCGACAGTGACGATCGGCACTGTGGAGGATCCAAGGATCGAAGGGTTGGTGGCCCAGGCCGTGCTCATTCGTATGATGACACTGCACGGGCAACACCCCCCCCCCCCCCCCTCGTTTTGTGTCGCTAAGACATCGCTAACCCAAAACATACCGATCTGTGAGCTAATTGCACACTAGAGGGCATATCTGTGTGAATCAGTAAGGAACTTAAACAACACACCGACGAGAAGAGCTAGTTGTTGCAACGCAAAGCCAACAGAATAGTGATACGTGCACATGGAACGCACTGGCAGAACAAGAACAGAATGGGGATACCTGGCGCATGTGCACCCGAACGGTACACACACACATAAAAGGCATTTCACACTGCAGACCCCAAATCCGGATTTCAGGGTTAAAACTCCCCAGGTCGAAAGAGGCCGAGTCGGCCAGACACGAAAAGGTAAAGTCGGGTACCACGGAGGTCAAGTCCGACTGGTCCCTGGTCAAACGTCACATCCCACAGGCAAAAGCCACATCCCCCAGTCAAAGGTCACCTCCCAAAGTCCAAAAGGCAGCAGCACACCAAGGAAAATTCTGGAAGGTACCGGGCCTCAATATTCCAAAAGCAAACAGGTCGCGGGCAACCAGGACCGGTCCAAGTCAAGCCAAGAGGAGCAAGGCTGGGACGAGTCAAGGCCTAGTCGAAGTCAATATAGGGACTGCCCAGCCACATTTCAGGGAGATTGCTCATTGGCGAGGAGTGTGGAAGTGCTGCTGCGCGCTTGTGCGCTATTTGCAAGTCGACCTAGCACTAGAGCCCTGCCTCGGCAGCGCTGTGCTGTAGTAGACAAGCGGCCATAGCCGCTCAGGTAGTAGTAGGACTAGAGCTGGGTAGTGAGCAGATGTATCCAGAGTCAAGATCTTCATAGTAGAGGGAAAGAGAAGGAAGCTCATGAGAGAGAGAGACAGGAAGAGAGACAGAGAGGATGTGGGATACAAGTTTGAGAGAGTCTCACTTACCTGGACGAGGTTGCTGGATTTGGTGTCGCTGAGCGCTTGGTGACTTGAACTCTGTAAATTGTTTAAGGTAACGACTGATTGCAATTTCGAAGCTGCGCTAATCTGGACTTGACATCTCTGGGGACTCTCTGGTGTGGAATTTCATGTAAGCAATCATTGAGCTTGTGCATGGGGAATCTATATAAGAGGTTCATTGCACACATATTAACCGTTGGTAAAAAAACTGGTCATGATTTCGAACTCTGATGGAATCGGATGAATACAACAATTCTAGAGGTTAACCATTTCAAGACAAAAAAAAAAAGAAAAAGAATAAAATGATGGAATACAAAGAGAAGAGGAAACATACTTTGGAATGATCCTCGTTGACTGAAGTCTTCTCATCTCGGGAGCGATCGATGCCGAAGATATCGTGCAGCACATACGAGACTCCATCTACCCAGATCACCTGCTTAATCACGTTAATGCCGTAAAAGCCATCCGCCTGCAACAAGTTTGCCACAACAACAACAACAACACATTGTGAACGACACGGTCGAAGCAAGCTAAGAGGGTTGCAACCACTTGCCCAACAGATTAAGCATGCGAGACTCCCATCTACCCAGATCACCTGCTTAATCACAATGACGCCACAAACGCCGTCCCACTGCTACACTGCAGCTACAGATTTTTCCACAACAACAAACCACTTTAGTTCATTCATGGTAAAAAAAGATGTACACATCACATAGAGAAGTATACACAATCAAGACGCACACACGTCTCCGAGATGACGATGATAATCAACGAGTCGATGAACGTGAAATAGTAACATCAGCCAGCAGTTAATGTCATACCACAAAGAACTTTACAGTTAAAAAATAAAAAAACTCATCTGCGTGCAACACAGTCAGCGCAAAGCGAGAAATTCGCATTCACGTATCCAATGCGCGAGGAACTGAGCCCTCGGCAGCATCCAAAGGGGCCCACCGACGAGCAAAGTGCCTGCCTGCCCTACGTGAAGGCGGCGAGACTGGGCTGACATTGACCATGGACAACTGAGTTCATTGCTTTTGGTCTCCTTTGGTGTGTAACTTGGTGCATTTTTTTTTCCTTCTTTTTTATTTTTTTTTAACACCCTAGATGATGCTAGGGGTGCTGATAGGAGCACGCACCACTAGCACTCCTGGGCTGGCTCCATCTATTGGTGGGGAGCAACACCTGCTGGAAACCGGGTCCAACGTCCCTTTCCGCACAGAGCAACCGTCTTCACCCACAGAGAACACCTGGTCATTATCACTGTATCTACACCAAAAGTTCCCCGAAATACAACTGTACTGACCAGGCATTCTACTCGGGTGAAGACGGTACTCTGTCTGGCTTTCACTGTGATGTTGCAATTTGGATTTCTGCCATTTCGCTCTCGCTCATTTTCCTTGCAAATGAATCGACAGCATACGTGCGGCATGTAGATGGAGTGCACTGCGCTAATCGCAGATGCGAGCGCTCGCACACGTGCGCAAAAAAAAAAAAGAAAAAAAAAAGAAGGAAGAACAAGAAGAAGAAACAACCGTGATGTGTGTATACACGCTGGAGAGAGAGAGAGAGAGAGAGAGAGAGAGAGAGAGAGAGAGAGAGAGAGAGAGAGAGAGAGAGAGAACAGACCCCTTTCCCATTATTCAGACAACCCCTGCCGGTACTTCAAAAGGTCCCTGCCAAAAATTGGCAAGGGTCCCATCGGCAGGAGAAGGGTGGTCACTGGACAGGTCGTCACTGGACTTGTAGTACGGATGGAGCAGTGTAGCTTCAAATTCAGGTCCGTGTTTCAGCAGTTATGGGTTACTGAGTTACTAACTCGGCATGTGACTTTCAGGGCTTCACTCCACTACTCACCAAATGTGCAAAACTAGAATGAATCTTCTCCTAGAAACTGGAACCATACAAGCCATACGTTTTTCTTTTCTGCAAGTGCCGATGAGTGGAGCAAGGCCCTTAGCGCCACTGTATGTAAGAAAAGGAAAAACAAAAAAACGAGACAGCTAAGGTGTGTTTGTACTACTTCGTAGCAAGTTTGTAACCCATAACTCTTGGGACACAGACCTGGATCCGAATCCATAATATATTGCTGGCCCGCTCGTGTTCTTCCACCAGTGCAACGAACGCCCTTCCAAATGAATGGCATCCGTGCTGATTCTCAGCAGGGGACCCTTTGGAAAGGAGAATATTACGGATGAGTAGTACGAAGATGTCCCAAAATATTCTCTTTCTGTGCCTTACAATTTTCAAAAGGGAGGGACACTTATGGGTATCACGGCCTACGCTTTCTGAATTTTTTTTTTTATTATTTTGTAAATGCGCCGCATCACGTGCACGCGCACGTGTATGCATGGGATATGCGGCCCACGTGCGCGACTTGCACGTACATCATGCCCCGCATGTATGATCGGCAGCCATGCCACGAAAGCAGGTTCGCCTTGTCATTCGCCTTTCAAACGTTCGTCACGGGATTTCCTTTCTTCACCAGCGGTTGAGGTAAACAGTTCAGGAGCACCGGAACAAACAGGAAGAGGAAAAATATTTAAAAAAAAAAAAAAAAAAAAAAAAAAAAAAAAAAAAAAAAAAAAAAAAAAAAAAAAAAAAAAAAAAAAAAAAAAAAAAAAAGGAAAACCATTGTTCGTGGGGAGTGTGAATGGCCCAAGTAGAAAGTGAAACATGGAAACAAACAAAAGATGAAACCACCACTACCTTTCACAGACAAACTTCAAACCGACTAAGAAAGCAGTATAACTGATACCGCATTCTTCGGAGGGTGGGGGCCACCATGAAACGGTATTCACCTGTTAGCAGTAGCGAATGCAGATCCCAGGGCTCGACCCCTAGTCCTTACCTTTCCTGTGTACAGTACCTGTGTCGACCC